TGGTGTTCCAGGTGTTGTGGTAGGGGGATGTGTTGTTCCAGGTGTTGTGGTAGGGGGATGTGGCTGTCTCTTATACACATCTAGATGTGTATAAGAGAACAGTCACAGAACGGATCACCTCTTGTTATTGTCAGAGATCCTTTTTTTTAATTCTACATTTCTCCCCACTGCTTGTTCACACGATATCTAAAAATTGCCGTGAGCTATGCACATGGCAGCTTCAAGGAGCATTTGGCTTGGACTGGAATAGTCACAATAAGTTTTTCAATGTGACCAGTCATGCGTGACATCATCTACGCGCAAATTTGCGTTTTTACATTATCGTTCATATTATCCAACCAATTGCTAATTCGAAACCATATTTAGTGAGCATAAATTTCAGGTCAAAGTTGAATGTCATGTACTTGAATTTTACGTGCGGACGTCAACATTTTAAAATGCTCAAAATCACTTTTTGACTAAAATAGAGCATGTTTCAGGCCATTTTAACACTTTTAAAATTTTCCGCATCGGGCGCGCATTTTTACACGCGGAGCACGTACAGAAGCTGAACATTTAGTGTTTTTACATGTTTTGGGTTTCTGACACTGTATTCATAATTTTCTATTCTTTTTCAGTCATCTTAGTTCCAATAGCAATGACGTACGGCATATCAAAGATATGAATCCTTGTGCGCGTTTTTGTCGACAAACACTGAAAATTTGCCAAAATCACGCCTAGATAGTTTCTTTATTTTTCCCCCTGATTGATCATGTAATTTTTTTTCTCATTTCAGAGAGATGTCTTTATTATTAAAGAGATGTCTATGTCTATTACATACCCAGTATCATAATTCCAATAAATTATATGTATTTTTATGTTTTAATACCATCGTTATAATTATCGTCGTCATCATCATGTTCAGCAAATGCTTCTATTTATCCTGTGCTCTAAGTCTTTCTGTATTTTTTGTTTGTATTTTTTATGGGACAATACATTTTTAAGGTTAGAACTATTTCTTTTTTCCTAAAACTATTTGTCACACAGACAAATTAATTTTAGCAGTGAACTCACTTGTAGAAACTGTAGTAACTTCTTCTGTTGTTTCCATTGGTGTTCCAGGTGTTGTGGTAGGGGGATGTGGTGTTCCAGGTGTTGTGGTAGGGGGATGTGGTGTTCCAGGTGTTGTGGCAGGGTGGGATGTGGTGTTCCAGATGTTGTGGTAGGGGGATGTGGTGTTCCAGGTGTTGTGGTAGGGGGATGTGTTGTTCCAGGTGTTGTGGTAGGGGGATGTGGTGTTCCAGGTGTTGTGGTAGGGGGATGTGGTGTTCCAGTTGTTGTGCCAGGGTGTAGGGTTCCAGTTGGAGTCACGGTTGTTGTTGGAGTCACCGTTGAAGAAATTTCTAAAAAACAATATTTTTATCGAAATTGCTTCAATGATTTTTTTCATTTGTCATGAAGAACTGTAGTAACTATGTGTGTGTTACCATTCAAAGCCCTTCCCATTTTGTTGTCAACCAAGAAAACTATTTAACAATAAATTTAAGTACTAAAAAATGTTTGATGAATAAATAAGTGCAAGTCAATTAAAAAGCACTAATGAAAGAAGTATACAGTAGTTGAGAAGGATATACCAGTACTTACTTTGATTTAAATTCACCGGAAGGAAAAAAAAGCATCAAGAATTGAAGTGAAGTAAGATGGAAGGCCAAAACAAAGGAAGAAAAAAATACAAATCAAATTAATGTTTAAAATTTGTATCACATTTATGTAGTTATTCTTGGGTAAATTAGATATTGTCTGGCATGCTGGGGTGGAAATATATTGCAAAGTGATGGGGATAGACTACAAAAGTTTGTCAACAGGTTTGAGAGGATTATCGGTTCAGAACTGCTGACGGTGCACTCAGTCTACCTAGAGCAACTAGTTAATAAGTTCGATGACGTAAATCTTGAAGAAAGTCATCCGTTACATTCGGCTCATTGCCGGTTGCTTTACACAACGCAGTGGTAAACTAAAGGTACTGGTTGCAAGCACAAAAAGATTTCTTAACTCATGTATTACGAGAGGAATTTGCCTCTTTAACAATAGACATGTTAGATAGTTTCTTTATTTTCCTCCGATTGATCATGTAATTTGATTTCTTATTTCAGAGTGGAAAAGAACAATGTAATTTCAATTATGGATAAATATTACATACCCAGTATCATAATCATAAAAAAATTATGTTATAATACCATCATTATAATTATCGTTGTCATCATCATGTTCAGCAAATGCTTCTATTTATCCTGTGCTCTAAGTCTTTCAACTTAATATGCTCTCTGTCAATGATTATATATTCAATTTATTTCCGGACATTTAATAAGCCAATGTATAGAAACAAAAGCTTGTCTTATTTGAATTAAATTAACTTTAATATCTTTTATATTTATCCCAAAATATACATTATAAAATTTATAGTTCGTAAAAACAATGAATATTATGGTAATGGACTTAAATAGGGCAAAATGAAATCACCTTAAAGCAGTTATCTCTATAAAGATGACTAGTCAAACAGGATCACAGAAAAATATTTTTTTGAGTTAGAACATGTTATCTTGTCAATGTCATTCCGAAAGGGGGAAAAAAAACCTACCGCAGCTTTCACTTGGACTGCCTACATCGCAAAATTCCCACCTTCTGTTTGGGTCCGTTGTATAACACCATGCGGTGTCATCCTGATCGGGGTTACGGCAGTTGTTGTTGTTGAGCAAACCATCATTTGGATAACTTTCTGGAGTGAATGAATGCGAATGTGGTGTCTGTGACGACCAGTCTTGACATGTGAAACCGCTTGTTGTGGTATGTACTGAGCCTCGATAATCGTAAGCATTTGACATTTCATAACATTCAGTTGGTGGTGGTGTTGGTGACTCAGTTGTTGAAGGAGCTGTGAAAGTTTCAATTTGTTATCATCAACTTAAAAGTAATCAAGATCTAGATACATAATTGCCAAAACCTAGGTCAAGAGCTAGTGGTATGATCTTCCCTTTTCATATTTTTTATTTATTTATTTTTTTTTTTTTATTCATTCATTCTGAAATAATTATAAGTAATAACATTCAAGAATAAAAACACAGAAAAGTACAAAAATCAACTTACTTCCACTGTGGTCCCTAAAAAGGATTCATATCTTTGATACGCCGTACGCCATTGCTATTGGAACTAAGATAACTGAAAAACTTTTGACTTTAATTACTTCGAAAATGACTTTACTTTTCTTTAATCTATGAGAAGGGGGTAGCTATTCAGTACAGCATATTGTTCTCCCGTAGGACCTAGAATAACACTGACACTGTATTCACAAATTTCTATTCTTTTTCAGTCATCTTAGTTCCAATAGCAATGGTGTATGGCATACCAAAGATATGAATAGTTGTGCACGTTTTTGTCGACAAACACTGAAAATTTGCCAAAATCATGCCTAGATAGTTTCTTTATTTTTTGCTCGATTGATCATGTAATTTTCTTTCTTATTTCAGCCCAATATTGCCTCCAATCTTTAGTTCAAACTTTCAGAATTTTAGTTCAATCCACAATTACAATACTAGAAATAGGAGTAACTATGTTTATGAGCGTTTAAATACTTTAACTGGCCAAAGTGATATCTCATTTCAAGGTGCTAAAGTTTGGAAGGAATTACCTGATCACTTAAAAACAATTTAAAATATTAATACTTTTAAATACGAATTACATTCGTATCTAGTTTCTTCCACCACATAAATTTCTGGTACTTATCTGCTATACTTTTTATATTATTGTAGCCCTATTTTATATTTAATTATACTTTATATTTTGATTTGTCATCTCTTTGAATTAAGATTTATTTATTGGATACATTCTTATGTTCAGGATCCCGCAATTAAAGCTTGCTTACAGTGGGGTACATCTGTCTCTTATACTGATTCTTTGATACTTTGATACAATATGTTTTTTAGGCTATTTTTGTTTGTATTTTTTATGGGCCAATACATTTTTAAAGTTAGAACCATTTCTTTTTTCTCAAAACTATTTGTCACACAGACAAATTAATTTTAGCAGTGAACTCACTTGTAGAAACTGTAGTAACTTCTTCTGTTGTTTCCGTTGGTGTTCCAGGTGTTGTGGTAGGAGGATGTGGTGTTCCAGGTGTTGTGGTAGGGGAATGTGGTGTTCCAGTTGTTGTGCCAGGGTGTAGTGTTCCAGTTGGAGTCACGGTTGTTGTTGGAGTCACCGTTGAAGTAATTTCTAAAAAACAATATTTTTAAAGAAATTGCTTCAATGATTTTTTCATTTGTCATGAAGAACTGTAGTAACTATGTGTGTGTCACCATTCAAAGCCCTTCCCATTTTGCTGTCAACCCAGAAAACTATTTAACAATAAATTTAAGTACTAAAAAATGTTTGATGAATAAATAAGTGCAAGTCAATTAAAAAGCACTAATGAAAGAATACTGTAGTTGAGAAGGATATACCAGTACTTACTTTGATTGAGGTTCACCGGAAGGAAAAAAAAGCATCAAGAATTGAAGTGAAGTAAGATGGAAGGCCAAAACAAAGGAAGAAAAAAATACAAATCAAATTAATGTTTTAGGATTTGTATCACAGTAATGTAGATATTCTTGGGTAAATTAGTTATTGTCTGGCATGTTGGGGTGGAAATATATTGCAAAGTGATGGGAATAGACTACAAAGGTTTGTCAATAGGTTTGAGAGGATAATCGGTTCAGAACTGCTGACGGTGCACTCAGTCTACCTAGAGCAACTAGTTAATAAGTTCGATGACGTAAATCTTGAAGAAAGTCATCCGTTTGGCTAATTGCCGGTTGCTTTACACAAAGCAGTGGTAGACTGAGAGTACTGGTTGCAAGCACAAAAAGATTTCTTAACTCATGTATTACGAGAGGAATAGACATGTTAGATAGTTTCTTTATTTTCCCCCCGATTGATCATGTAATTTGATTTCTTATTTCAGAGTGGAAAAAAACAATGTAATTTCAATTATGGATAAATATTACATACCCAGTATCATAATCCCAATAAATTATGTTATAATACCATCATTATAATTATCGTCGTCATAATCATGTTCAGTAAATGCTTCTATTTATCCTGTGCTCTAAGTCTTACAACTTAATATGCTCTCTGTCAATGATTATATATTCAATTTATTTCCAGACATTTAATAAGTCAATGCATAGAAACAAAAGCTTGTCTTATTTGAATTAAATTAACTTTAATAATATCTTTTATATTTATCCCAAAATATACATTATAAAATTTATAGTTCGTAAAAACAATGAATATTATGGTAATGGACTTAAATAGAGCAAAATGAAATCACCTCAAAGAACTTATCTCTATAAGGATGACTAGACTCAGTTGTCGAAAGAGCTGTGAAAGTTTCAATTTGTTATCATCAACTTAAAAGTAATCAAGATCTGGATACATAATTGCCAAAACCTAGGTCAAGAGCTAGTGGTATGATCTTCCCTTTATTGTTCTTTAATCTTAGAGGAGGGGGTAGCTATTCAGTACAGCATATTGTTCTCCCGTAGGACCTAGCATAACATACAAATGAAATAATTAAATGCAATATGGGTATTATGCTAGGTTTACACTATATCCCCAGTGGCCACGACAGCACCGTTTTCCGGAAACGTAGTACACCGTGGGAATTTGGCCATTAGGCTAAAAAAAGAGTTTGTTTGCCCACCTTACCTGCCCCGAACCCACTGAAAAAATAGGGGACGGAAAAACAAAAAAAGTTTAAAAAAGCCTTTTTTTTTTTGGTAATCCGCTTTACAGAATGGATCACCTTATTGTCAGATCTTTTTTTTTTAATTCTTCATTTCTCCCCATTTCTTGTTCGCACAATATCTAACAATTGCCGCGAGTTACTTACATGGCAGCTTCAAGGGACATTTGGCTTGGCCTGGAATAGTCACAATAAGCTTTTCAATGTGACCAGTTATGCGTGACGTCATCTACGCGCAATTTTGCGTTTTCACTTCAAAATTTTAAAATGCTTAAAATCATTTTTGAGTAAATTAGATCACGTTTCAGACAATTTCAAGCATTCCAACATTTTTCAAATTTTCCGCTCCGCGAGTGCATTTTTACCCACAGAGCACATACAGAAGCTGCAAATTTCGTGTTTTTTCATGTTTTGGGTTTCTGACACTGTATTCACAAATTTCCATTCTTTTTTAGTCATCTCAAACACTAAAAATTTGTCAAAATCGTGCCTAGATAGTTTCTTAATTTTTCCCCTGATTGATATGTACTTTTCTTTCTTATTTCAGAGTGAAAAAGAACAATGTAACTTCAATTATGGATGAATAAAAAGATTTCTATGTCTATTACACACCCAGTATCATAATCCCAATAAATTATGAATTTTTTTATGTTTTAATACCATCATTATAATTATCGTCGTCATCATCATGTTCAGCAAATGCTTCTATTTATCCTGTGTGTTAGTCTTTCAGCCCAATATGCTCTCTGTCATTAATTATATATTCAATTTATTTCCGGAAATTTAATCAGCCAATGCATAGAAACAAAAGCTTGTCTTATTTTAGATAAATTAATTTTAATAATATCTTTTATATTTATGCTAAAATATACATTATAAAATGTATAGTTCGTAAAAACAATGAATATTATGGTAATGGACTTAAATAGGGCAAAATGAAATCACCTTAAAGCAGTTATCTCTATAAAGATGACTAGACAAACAGGTTCACAGAAAAATATTTTTTTGAGTTGGAGCATGTTATCTTGTCAATGTCATTCTGAAAGGGGAAAAAAAAAACCTACCGCAGCTTTCACTTGGACTGCCTACATCGCAAAATTCCCACCTTCTGTTTGGGTCTGTTGTATAACACCATGCAGTGGTATCCTGATCAGGGTTACGGCAGTTGTTGTTGTTGAGCAAACCGTCATTTGGATAACTTTCTGGAGTGAATGAATGCGAATGCGGTGTCTGTGACGACCAGTCTTGACATGTGAAACCGCTGGTTGTAGTATGTACTGAGCCTCGATAATCGTAAGCGTTTGCCATTTCATAACATTGTGGTGTTGGTGACTCTGTTGTTGGAGGTGGTGTTGGTGACTCTGTTGTTGGTGGTGGTGTTGGCGACTCTGTTGTTGGAGAAGCTGTGAAAGTTTCAATTTGTTATCATCAACTTAAAAGTAATCAAGATCTAGATACATAATTGCCAAAA